CCCCATCGGGAGAACATCTTGGCCACAGGAAGGTGAGTCCCTTAGGGTTGGGTCACAGGGGTCCGTCTTCCATCTTTCACTTCCTTTTCTCATGTTGACCATTGCAACGTTGTTGAATTGGACCAACTCTTATACCAGAGTGTAGTTATCTGGGCTTGGGGAAAGGGGCTTTGTCCTAGAGGAATGAGTAGTATGGGTTTCTCCAGGAGTGTCCCCTGCCACCTGGGGGCCGTGGGGGAAAAGTGGGCATTGGTTTTCCTGCGTGATCCCTGTGGTCGGTGGGTTTCAGCTATGATGAGCATGTTCTACTGTGGGACACTCGGAGCATGAAGCAGCCATTCGCAGACATGCCCACGCAAGGCGGAGTGTGGAGGCTCAAGTGGCACCCTTTCCACCATCACCTGCTCCTGGCAGCGTGCATGCACGGTGGCTTTAAGATCTTCAACTGCCAAAAGGCGATAGGTGAGTAGGGGCCCCTTGGCAGCCAGGCCTGGGGTGGGGGTTCCCAGTTTTCCTGCCCCCTTGCTCTGCACATCCCCAGGCTCACACCACCATCTCAACAAGGCCCGTAACTGGGCCAGCCTCGAGCCTCAGTCTGCAGCACTCTGCTCCTTAGCTGTGGGTCTTACCTGGTCAGCTCAGTTCTTCTGATACCTCCTGCTGTTCAGCTGTTCTCTGCCCTCTTAGGACTCTGCTCCAGAAGCATTCCAGAGCCGTCCTTGGCCCACCTCCTGCCACGTTCTTCCTGCCTGTGCACAGTGTGGTGGTCTGCGTGCTCTCATGTTCCCAACATATGCTTCAGCTGTCTTCCCCTTGCTCCCTTGCTCACTCTCTCTGGGCAGCACCCAGCACTGGTCAGACCCAGTTCCGCTTGGGCCTGAGCCACACAAGGGGGCTGGAGGGAAAGAGTAACCCTGTGGGGTCTCACTTGAGGTTGATGTTACAGTGGGTCCTTGGAGTTGCCAGGCGAACTGTGGCCTTTTCCCTGCCAGCCTTTCTTTACTGTCAGAACTTTTTCATGTTTTCTTTTTTCTCAAGCCGCCAGTGCCCCCTTTCCCTCCTCGTTCTGTTTGTGATCCCCCTCCCTCCTTGTCCGTACAAAGAAGTGAGTACAGACACCGCCTGGCCAGTGTTGCTCTGAAGCCCAGTCTCCTCTGCACGGGGCTGTGCTCCAGGCTTCCTGTTCTGTGTTTTCAGTTCCCCCAACTGCGCGCGTCGGTTCTGGTAGTGACACGAACATGCAGTTCTCATCTGGAAGCCTTGTGAGATCTTGCACGTTAACATGGGTATTTACAGTAAGAAGTTGTCCTCTGAGCACTGCTTTCGCTGCATTCCATCAATTTTGGGGTGTGGTATGTTTTCATTCATCTCACAGTACTTTCTAATTTCCCTTGTGATTTTTTTCTTTGACTCATTAGTTATTTATGAGTGTATTGTTTCATTCCACATTTTTGTGACTGGCCTAAATTTCTTTCTGTTACTGATTTCTAATTTTATTCCTTCATGGATTCCTTTTAAGTTATTGAGACTCGTTTTGTGGGTTTGTGTGTGGTTGGTCCCAGAGAGCGTTCCGTGTGCTCTTCAGAAGAGTTTGCTCTATGACCGTGGGCAGAGTGCTTTGCAGATTCTGTTCACGTGTTCTGTTGATTTTGTCTGGTTGTTCATTATTTTTTTACAATTTTTTTTAAGATTTTATTTATTTGTTAGAGAGGGGGAACACAAGCAGGGGCAGAGGGAGAGGGAGAAGCAGGCTCCCTGCGGAGCAGGGAGCCCAATGTGGGGGGCGGGGCTCGATCCCAGGACCCTGGGATCGTGACCTGAGCCGAAGGCAGATGCTTAACGACTGAGCCACCCAGGTGTCCCCTATTACTATTTTTTCTACATTTTAAAATTAGCATTCTTTTATAAGGAAGAGCTTTCTTTTCTCCCATATATCTGTATGTATGTATTTATTTATTTATTTACTGAAAGATTTTTTATTTATTTAACAGAGATAGAGAGCACAAGTAGGCAGAGTGGCAGACAGAGGGAGAGGGAGAAGCAGGCTCCCCGCCGAGCAGGGAGCCCGATGTGGGGCTCGATCCCAGGACCCTGGGATCATGACCTGAGCCGAAGGCAGACGCTTAACGACTGAGCCACTCAGGTGCCCCTATATCTGTATTTATTAACTGTCCATATAGATTCATGGCTTTTATGTTACTCAGTGGGCTATAAAGTGTTATTGTCATTACTCATTATAATGTTCACATCATCCTAGAGCTTTCTCATGAAAACCCCCTAAAGCCGTCTCCTGTGTGTGCCACATGTCCCTACTGATTTTTGGGAACTTCCCTCGATTTTTGGCCACCAGGCCTTCCAGCTGGTGACAGTTTTCTAAGTCCACACCCCCGGTCACCGGCCACTAGTTTCCTGTAGCTGCTCTTGCCATCCTTGGCCTCGCCCTGGACCCTAGACTATCTCAGGTTTGGCAACACCTTGTCATTTCTTTCTGTGGTTAACGTTGCTTCAAACCTTCTACAGCTGGACCTCTTTCCAGTCCTGCTCTCCATCCTCAGAGTTGCCATAGCAACTCACCAGAAGGAAAACTGCTTAAACTCTTCAGTGACTCCTTTCCAGACTCACACGCAGACTTTATGGAGCGCGCAGAACTCTGCGCGATGGTCACCCTCCAGACACGTGCCGCCACTCCCTGACGGCATTTCAGCCACGGGCACTTGTGGTCGCCCAGATGTGTCCTGTTCTGTCTCTGTACTTCACACATGCTTGTTCTCTGTTTCTCATGCATCCCTGTTGCTCCCATCTGGCTACCTCCTTTGTCCTTTGCTTTGAAGTCCTCACTGAGAGACTTTGGCCAAGTCCTCCAGCTCGGAAGGGCACCCTCGCCCCTGTGCCCTGTAACCAGGCTGACCCCCCGCAGGTGCACCCGCGGCGCGCGCCCTGCAAGTGAGGGCCTGTTCTCTTCTCACCCGTCCACGTCTGAAGGACCCCTTTGTGTGATACACAGCGGTTGCTGACAAATGAATGGCCGCTTTTAGCAGAGTCTCCCTTTGAGAGTGGGCAGGGGCCGTCGGTGGGAAGTGATGAGATCAACCCTGGCTAACGTCGCATGTTTTGTCTCATTCCAGAGAAGCGGGAAGCCTGCACAGTCTCCGTGTCCCATACGTTGCCCAGCTCATTGGTGTATGGAGCTGACTGGTCCTGGCTCTACTTTGGCAATCGGTCACAGACCCACCAGCCGTGCTGCTTAGGGGCCTTTCCCTACAGCAACTTAGGAGCCAAAGCCTCACAGCTCTACAACCTGAAGGCTGTACATCAGTCACCAGCAGCCTGTTCTCATCATCTAGCAGAGGATGAGGAAGAGGGTCATTCCAAACTTCAGAGCGGCAGCAGACCGAAGACGCCTCTCCATCCACTCACAGAGGACATGGTGAAGAGCGGCAGCTGGTGCCATGCTGCAGGGCACAAGGGCTGGGACTGTGACCTCTCTCTGGAAGCAGTGAGCTTGGACATTGACCTCCTAGCTACCTGCTCCTTTTATGATCATGTTCTTCACCTCTGGAAATGGGAGAGCAGCTGAGCTAGGGAAGAGTTTCGTTGAGGTCATAAAGACCATTTCCACAAATAAAACCCAGAGTGTGACTCTGTGAGTGAACTGCCCTCAGACCATCTCCTTGAGAGTCTTCCTGTACGCCACAGGTGACTGTATAGGGCTCAGTGCACCTTACGGGCTCTACAGGGTGAACAAAGAAGCTGCTGGCTTCCCAAATAAACCTTATCTGCTGGGGCAAGTGGTGACTCTGCCTGATAGCAAGGAGTCTGCTATTGTGGGAGTGGAAGGGTTTTGGTTCCCAGCTCAAACTTGTCAGTTTCTTGTGTGAATTGGGACATTCAGTTCTTCGTACTTATTTAAATTAACTAAATTAAAGTGTGCTTTTTTTTTTAAGATTTCATTTATTTGAGAGAGAGAACACAAACAGGGGGAGGGTCAGAGGGAGAGGGAGCAGACTCCCCGCTGAGCAGGGAGCCCCATGCAGATCCCAATCCCAGGACCCCAAGACCATGACCTGAGCTGAAGGCAGACGCTTCACCGACTGAGCCCCCAGGCACCCCCAGGCACCCAGCTTCCTTAAAGCTACTTAACAACAGTTTTACATGAACATTTAAAAAGATCACCTCATCATGGCACCAGACGTGCTTATATTAGTCTCCTATGCTGATAAGCAAAGGTAAGTGTATACACATTGAGTTGCCTTATGGTGTCATAAACTTGAAACAGGTTAGTGTGGTGGATTAATCCCTCTTCCCCCTTGTAGCTTTAGTACCTGAGTGGCTTCCAAAGCCTGGACACATAACTGAATTTGTGACTCATCTGACTCCCACAGACTTCATTTTTGTCTCTCTGGAAGAAACAGACCTTGAAGTGCAGGCCAGTGTGGAGTCTGTCAAGTCTTCAGTAGGTACTAATATCCTAAGTAGGTGTTCAGAGTCAGAAAACATGCACACTTTTTTAAGATTTTATTTGAGAGAGTGTGTTTGCAAGAACAAAGGGGGCAGGCAGAGGGAGAAGCAGACACCCCTGCTGAGCAGGGAGCCTGAGGCAGGACTCCATCCCCAAACCCCAAGATTATGAACTGAGCTGAAGGCAGACATTTAATGGACTGAGCCACCCAGACATCCCAGAAAACACACTTCTACTTTTTGCTTTATTTTCTGATGAAAGTATAGGTCAGAACATGTAAGAAATTACTATGCTAAAATGATCGATTCCCAGCTAATGGCGCATTTATTTCAATAGAAGAATTTGAACCCTCCTTTAACGGCATTTAACATAAGAATCAATTAAATATTAAGCAGAATACAGAAGACCAGAGGGACTATGCACAGAAACAGGCGCACCCAAAGGAGAAAGAGACTAGATTACTGGAGGTTTGTCCCCAAAGCAGCTGCTTTTGAACCCATAAAGAATATGCTCATTGGCTTCGTGGGGTGAAGAATCTGGGCGATAAATTAACCAGTGCTGTCACGTGGCGCGATGTGCCTTGTGAATTCTCTTCCTTTTACAAGCTAAGCCATGTGTTCTTGCCCCAAAACCTTGCGGTGGGGAGACGACGGCTTCCAGTTTCACTGGGAGTGGGGTCTCTAGGATTCTGCCTATAGGTCCTTTCATCTCCCAATGACCAGATGCCAAAGCCGACCCCGTGTGGCGGCCGGGGAGGACGGACGGGCGCAGTCCGCAGGCTCGCAGGCACACCCAGCGGCCAGCACTCCGCCGCTCCTAGCGCGGGAAGTTCTTGGGGTACAGCTGGAAGAGCTTGCCTTCCTGGGTGGGCTCGAAGCCGTACTTTCCCAGCTGCTCCGGGTCGAAAGTGCCGTCCCGGAAGTCCTTCTCGATGGCAGGTGCTACCGCCTCCCGGAACAGCTGTTCGGCCGTCAGGGGCGTGTCTGCGCCCGCCTGGGCGCGGTAGTTCACGTAGGGCTTGAGCCTGAAGCCGGCCAGCTCGGGCACCACCAGCTCCGGGACCATCTCCTTGATCTGCACAAACTTCCCGTCGCGGCCGTGGACGCCGGTGCCCTTGGCGCCGCGGCTCTTGTAGAAGGTGCGCGGGCCCCGCTTGCTGGTCCATCTGCTCATGCGGTCGGCGCCCCGCACCAGGATGCGAGCAGCCCCGCTCAGGAGGCCCATGCTGAAGCCTGCACCACGCGGGCGCGCTCCCAGACAACTCCCAGGCGCCGCGATCAGCCGCACCACCCTCCGCTTCCGGCGCCCCCGGCGGCTTCCGGCGGTCAGCGCGGCTTCCGGCGCTCTCGGCGGCTTCCCGCGCCACCCGGCCTCCGCGCCGCAGCAAGAGCAGCTCCCATTGGCGGCGCTGCGTCCAATGCACAGCCTCGGCCCTGCGAGTGGGCGGGACCTCCGGGTCCCGGCCAATGCGCTGGGAGGCGCGACGTCCGCGGCGGGGCGGCGGGGGTAGTGACGGGAGCGCGGGCGTCGGGAGCGCGCGGTCCCGGTGAGTCACCGCAGAGTGCCCCGAGATGGCGGTGCCCTGTGAGGCAGGGTAGCCATCAACGCCCCCAACCCCTGCCGGGACGCACCCTGCCCCACAGGCCCTCCCGGCCTTGCGCTGCGTGGTGGGAGGCGCAGGTGGGAGGCGGATCCCGTGTTCTCTCGGTCCCCCGGACGTTAACCACCACTCCCAGCCCCGACGTCCGTCGACCCCGAGCCCCCAGCTCCGAGGTTCCCCGACCCTGAGGCCCAACCCTGACGCCTGTCAACCCCCAGCCCCCAACCCAGACACCAGTAAACCTCGAGCCCCCCAGCCTCGCTGTTCCCAAACCCCCTAAACTCCGATGTCCCCTTAGCTCCGACACCCGTCAACCCCAGCTCTCCAACCCCCGGCGTCGGCCCGCCCCAACGCTTGTCAACCCCGAGGTTACACCGACACCCCCCAACCCCGATGACTCCCTAAAATGACACCCCCAACCTGGACGGCCGCTAACCCCGATGCCTCCCTAACCTGCAGCTTCCCAACCTTGCAGCCCCCTGCCTCCCACTTCCGTCGGGATCTGTGCTGTCCCAGGCAGAGGATCAATGACTTCCTCCTTGTCTCCCTAGCAGGTGCTGGGGACCACGAGCTCTACCCCACTTCAGACACTCAGGGGTGGGATGTGTGGGGAGACTGCCTGGTCAGGGCACTAGCAGGCCGCAGAGCTGGGGTCGGGGCACTGCTGGCCCTTCAGGAGACTCATCTGAGAAGGAAGGGTTTTCCATGTGGGTGGCAGAGGACACAGGACATTTGACCCAGGAGCAAATGCACTATGACCCTGCATCTGCCTTGTGCGTCCTGACTTCTCTGGATGGGATTTTGGGAGAGAAGAGTCTTCTCTTGCTGCTGCTTTTCTAAGGGGCCTGGGAGCCACAGGGTGAAAGCCCCAGACCTGGCTCCTCCCCACTGGACAGGGGCAAGGTGAACCAGCTCCCCAAGTTCATCCTCCTCTGGACCTGACACACCCACCTTGAGGACTCAACCCCACTGGATAGGAACCCCCCTGAGGCAGGCCACTAGGGTGTCTCACAGTTGCCCTGTGGGGCCCCATGCACCCCTACCCCGCCCCCAGCCACAGCCTCCTCCCTGTGGCCCTGGGAGCTCCTGGCGGCACTAGGCCTTGGCGGAGCAGTCCACGCTTGCCCTTGACCCGCTGGGAGAGGAGCAGGACTTGGCTGCAGTTGTGGGTTCCTGGGCAGCCACGGGAGAGCTGTTTACAGAGAGGAGAGTGGCTCTGGTGCGTCCCTTCCTGGAGAACACAGCTTTCCGTCAGGATTTTCCTTTCAGTGCAAACATAATTTAAAGAAAAAAGGAGCCCAGGAGGAAAGGCTGAAAGCATTGCTCTGCCCCGTGAGCGTGAGCTGGGGGGACCCTTGCCCTCCTTTGAACCAGTCTTTCCTCTTTTTACCTTGACTGTTGTTTTTGTTTTTGTTTTTTCATTTTTAGCCATGAAGCGAGAGGAGGATGCCAGCCGAGAGGTATGGAACTGGAGGGTTCCAGGGATGATTCAGAGCCTCAGAATTCCCAGCTAGGGGCATTTCTGGACCAAGAGATTTGTTCTGTGGGCAGCTCCTTGAAATCGGCTGAATGGGAGTGGCAGCTTGGGCCCCTCCATCCCCTTGTCATTGTCGAGACCCTGCCACTTCTTCCCCCGAGGTCACAACTGTCAGTTCCTGCTTCCCCTTAGGACTTCTGCTTGCTTCGATGCGAGTCTTTTCTCCATGGAACATCTGTAGCCATATCACAAAGGCCTTTATTCCTAAAGCAGAAAAGTGGATGCATTAAAACAATCATGAAAAGCCTGAGATGCTCAATATAGGAGATTGTATAATTCGGTTACGGGCCACCTCTGTGACCCTTTCCTTGGTTATCCTTGGTTGTCCTTGACATGGTGGCTGAGCTCCAGGGGACACACCTAAGTGAAGAGTGGGTCGTGGGTGCTGTCATGTTGACAGCTGAGCACTCGGGGCCAGGAGGGGCTGGATGCCTCAGCTCTGAAGCAAAAAGCTCCCACTGCTTCCATTTGCCTGCTGAACCAACTTCAAAGATCTGCTTTTCTGGGCCACGTACTTATCCTGTCTTGTGGCAACATTCTGCTTTTGAGACTTTTTTCTGAATCCCCTTCCATTTCATTGGGTTTTCTGGCATCCATGCTGTGTCTGGTGCTCTCTCGATAAGGATCGGACAGGATACTTTAGTCCTTGGCACTTGCGACTTGAAAGGATTAACAGGTGCCCCCTGCCCCATCCTGTTCCTGGCTACTTGGGGGGAATGCAGAGTGGCTGCTTGTTTGGCTGGTTTCTCTTGCTCGTTTTCATCTTTTTGAGGAATCAGCCAATATTCTCCGTGTGGGTGGCCCCAGCCATCTGCCCGTTCACCATCCTGTGCTCAGTTTTTTCTCTTCCTCCTCCCTCCCTTGGGTCTGAGCTTCTGAAGCCCCACTAAATCCTTCCCTAGGAGGTGGTAGGGAGCAGGCACATAACCTTTCCCTGCTATGAGCTGGTATTCAAGGTTCTCAAAATCCAGAAAATCTCAAAATCTGTGGCTCTTTGGGGTTTCTCTGCATTGCTGTGGTGTAGGCTCCCATGTGCCCTGAGGCCGGCAGCGCACAGTCCTGTTGGTGATCAGAGGGCACCGAGTGATGGCCTTCGCGCCCCCTGTGGCCAGCCGGGCTTGCTCCTCTAGGCTTGCGTCTGAAGGACTGGAAAGCTGAAAATTTAGGATTCACATGCAATAAAATGCCTAGGGTATTTGTGGTCAACACAGCACAGCTGCTGGCCCTGCCCAGCTGCCTGACTCCGTGTCCCGTGGGTGGCCATGGGAGACCGGTTTCTCTGTCTCCTGAGCAGGTGTGCTCAGAGGACCTTAGCAGCCGAGAAGATCATTTCTTCCCTAACCAGTAGCTCTATTCTTGCTGCCCTGGGAAGCCAGGGCCACGCCTGTGTTGGCCCCTCCTGACCACAGTGTTCTCCCCTAGGCTGACTTCTGTCTGGGTACTGCCCTGCAGTCCTGGGGGCTGCAGCTGACGGAGCAACATTCACAGTCCACCATGGTAACCACCTCAAGTGCTTCCTGGTGACGGGTGGGCCCTGGGGTTTGTGGCTTGTTGCACTCCTGGCTGCTCCTGGCTCCTTTGTCACAGCCTGTTGCCAGGGTGGGGAGGGGCAGTGTGGCAGTCTTGCTGACGGGTGCTCTGTCTGTGACCTCGCCCAGCTGATGGGGATTGTGATTGGAGCCCTCCTGGCCCTGGCCCTCGTTGGCATCACCGTCTTCTTTGTGTACAGAAGGGTTAACCGATTCCGTGAGTATCTCACCTCAAACTCCAGCTCTAGGGGTAAGGGACGAGGGCTTGGGAGGGCGGGGGAGGTTTGGGTGACTTGCCCATGTTTTGAGCTCCTGGGAGCAGCCCTCAGGCCCATGATAGCTTTTGTTGGGAACTGCCAGCCTGTCGCAGCTGAGGCTGTGCGTGTCGGACCCATGGAATTTACGTATGTCCCCAGCTTTCTTGGCTCACATTTCTGAGCAAAACTTTGGTAAGAGGAGACGTGAGTCCTGCTCCCTGGGAGCCAGCCTGTGCCGGCCCGGTCCCAAGATGCCATGTGCCTTTCCCCCGCACTGTATGCCGGAGCTGGGACAGGACAGGCTCGGTGTGCACACCCTACGGGCTGCCTGGCAGAACCCTCCCACCTCTCCGTGTCCCAGCCGTGGCTTAGGAGGCCCCTCTGCTCCCCTTGCAGGACAAGTACAGCCCACTCCTCAGTACAGGTTCCGGAAGAGAGACAAAGTGATGTTTTACGGCCGGAAGATCATGAGGAAGGTAACATGTACTGAGGCCTGCTTGCTACAGGCCCTGGCGCAGTGGGGCCCCCAGCGGCCTGTGGCTGCCCTCACCTCCGTGCCCTCAGAGATTGTTAGCCAGTGCAGAGAGACGGAGGCTTCGTTGGCCTGTGTCCTGGGGCACAGCGGGTCCTGGCTTTGGTGCTGAAATTGGGGGTCCTGCCAAGATTTGGACACTGGGAGGCCTCCCTTGTCAGCATCAGTACCCACGTGGAGGATAAGCAGCCTGGTCCGACTTGTCCTTCCCGGTCACCCCCGGCCCCTCCCACTCCCCGAGGGCAGGAGGGACTCAACACTACCCAGGGGCTTGCTCTCCAAGAAATACCTGCTTCAAATAGCTGCTGACATTTTAGAGTAGCCTCCACTTAGCACTTTTTTCTGGTAAGCAACTAATACATGAAATGCCACAGGAGAAGGCACGTGAGTCCTTGCGTGGACCTCCCATTCTTCTCAGCGTCAGGCTGTGACGAGGAGGTCCACTGGAGTTGCTGACGGGCCTCGAGCCTGAGCGCTCGAGGTGGGGAGGCAGTCAACCAGTGATCCCCCTGAGCACTGTGCGGGGACCAGATCTGGGCTGAGGAGGACAGGAACATGGCCCAGTGGTGCCAGGTCACCTGGAGGGAAGGAGGAGTTGTGACCACACGCCCACAGCTGACACCCTGGGACAGGAGCTGCTCGGGGAGCAGACGGGTAGTGGCTGCCCACAGGGGGCTTGCTGACATCCAGGAACCAGTCGCTCTGCACTGTTAGCACCACAGGGCAGATGAGCTGGCTTCAGTGGTGGGGAAGGGGCAAAGAGCTTTCCAGACCTGCGACGATCACGCAGGGACTCGGATTCTAGGTGGGGGGTGGGGCAGTAGGCCAGGACAAGGCCAGCCTTTTTT